TTTTTTAAATCTTGGAACGCTATTTAGAAATCCATTTAAGCTTTAGAGCTGCAATGTATTTAGTAAATCATAGGCACTATCATAGAACTCTAAGTGTGAATTCTTGTTCTTTATTGAACATGGGTTGTATGCGCCATCAAAGCCAATGTTTTGGGGCCACGCAGGGTGCCTTCATCAGGGAGACACTGACCCCTGTCACCCTGATGAAGGGACCCTGTGTGGTGCCCGAAACGTTGTCTTTTTTAACACATATGACACATGTTCGGTACAGACCAAGATTTCACACTTGGAACCATGTGAATGCTTTTGATTTTCTACTCTATATATTTGAGGCCACACAGCACCATCTGTGTCATCACTGCAAGCACCACGAGTGAGAACTATATGGTTATAATGCTGTATGGAGTGCAAGTGATCTACCCCCACACTGCTTTAGGGCTGTGCGTGGCCTGAGCACAACACTCCTTGCCAGGTAATCACATCTGTCTCTATATACTGCAGGCCATGACTGCATGCCCCCATTTTTTTGTCCTTTGTTTGCTTTTCCATTCTCTTCTTTCCTCTTGTCTTAAAGGAGAACTATGAGGTGAGTGATTTACACTTCCCCTCCTAGTTGGAGCCGACCTGTGACAAAGAAGCGCTCACAGGTTGGCTTTATTGATTGGGTGAGCAGAAACAAGCAAAGATCCGGTCACTTCCCGATCGCTCCCTGCAGGGAGACGGTGACAGTCAGTCACTGCTCCCCGCAGGGATCTTATCCCCCCCCTCTGATCCTCCAGCGCTGAGTGGAGGAACAAACAGGGGAAGGTAGGTATATGTCCTCCCGTGACCCTAAAGAGAACCATGGGGAAAAACACTTACCCCATAGTTCTCATTTTTAATCCCTTCTCACTGCACTGTGGTTCATCCTTATTTTGCTACCCCCTTTTGTTATCAGCGGCCCATTGAGGGAGACACCCTTTTCGTATCCTACATATTAGTGGCTACTAAACTCTCAAGATAACGGTTTTACGATTTGTTACATTGGGTGATGGGGATACCTACTTATTGTCGTCCTCACTTCTTTTTTTCTTCTTGGTTTGTTTCTCTTATTTGACGCTTTCAATAATTTCAAAATCCCAAGGGTCTGTTTTTGTGCATTTACACTCTATCTTTCATATGCTGCATCTATTTCTTGATAATGAACAAAACTAATTGTAAGCCCAGGATAACCCCTCCTATCAGCCTGGAAAATGAGGCTTCCACACCAGGCAATTATCCATTGTATGAATCCTCTCCTTCCTGAAGCTGGGTTTGGACCAGCATTTTGCCCTCTGTGCTATTAAGTGTCATACACTGTTTTGCTGTTTTTTTGTTCCCCCCCCCCCCCC